CCAAACCATTCTGTGAGTCTATAAGTTATGTCATCCTGAGTAGGTCACCTCCTTCCTTCCATTTTCCTATCCAAAGAAAGGGTCTGATGCTGTGTACTTTGCAGGCACGGTGTTTGGCAGGTCACAAAGAAGGACCTTAACTTTGTGTTGCTGTTGTAGTGCCACAAGGAAACTTTACAGTCTCCACGATACAGCACAGCGTACCAAAGTGTGCCTACACAGTAAAACCATACCTCCTGTACCAGAGGACTGGTTGTTAGCTGTTAGCTATGGCCTGCCACCCACAGACAGTCAAGTCTTACACCACTTAGTGGGAGGGTCTTGGAAATGCAGACCCACAAACCAGTTTATTCCAATAGACCTCTTCAAGCTCAGCTTTGTCTTTGAGAGCCCCTGCAGGGAATTGCTACAGAAACCTCACAACCCTGTGCCATCTGAGTTAAGATATACCAAGAGCAGCTTTTGCTACTAACCCCAGTCTTGTTTGAGCTGTGGAATGGAGTTGGCTCCAGGCATTAGAAGTCTCACCAAATCAACCTAAAAAGCATTCAAGCACATCTGAGTTGCTGTACCTCGCCGGGGACAGCATTATGTCCCTGCAGAAGCCAGTACAGCCAAGGCCAACAATCTGTATTCAGTTTGTCAAGGCATGTTGAAAGCTGGAATGTTTTCAGGCTTAATAAATACTCTTTAAGTACTGAAAAGGTTTATTCTGGGATTTATGGTCCGTTTTTAGAAGGAGTTTATTTTACTTAGCTGTAACTTTGTCCACTGGATATTCTACAAAAACTTGTTATTCTTTGCTTTACTGATGGCTGTTTGATCCAGCTTCAAAGACAGCAAGAGTACCTAGAATGGCCAAACCATTTTTTATCACCATTCCTCTTCAGCAGGTTGTTGGATGAGAATTGCCAGCTCACATGCAGACCCGATGGGTTCCTGTCTCTTCCCAAACGCCAAGAAAACAGTGCATGTGCAAGAGACTTGGAAGCAAACAGAGACCTGAAATTCCCAGAAAGCAGCACCAGCCAGCAGCCAACCCGTCAGCGAAGGCAAAATTCGTTACCGCTCTCAGTGGTTCAGTTGTCTATACTGCTCAGGTAAGTGTCTTCTCCAGTTGTCATTGCAGAGAAGACAGGGATGTGTTCTCTTTGGGTTTCAGTTGAGGTACTGGTAGATCGTGACTGGTCTCTGATGTTTTCTCTCACAGTCAAGTTACGGATGAGGCTCAGCTTCAGAAGTTGGATATTTTTGTCCCTCTGGCTGATATTAACAGTTACCTAAAACTTACTGAAGCCGCAGGTCAAATATGGTAAGTTCTGGATGTCTGTGATGGTGCCCATCAGAGGTGAATGAGAGACAGTCGGTGCAGGTACAGAAGTGCACAACCATACACATCCATGTGGAGTTTTGGCAGTGCAGAACAGGGACGGGTCAGCGTGTGCTGGCACTTCAGTAACTCCTTTCTGCTCTTTCTGACTCTTCACGTATTTGAGTTTCTACTTCAACTCCTGCTGCAAAGGGCTGTATGGAATCGAGATCCCTTAGCATGCTGTGCAGTAATCGGCAATAAAGTCCCATCCCAAAAGCTGTTATTCTAACGTTGGTGTGAAATCACCTCATCACTGCTAGTCAGTTTTACCTTTGGTGTGGTGAAGCACAATGATGGCATGTCACAGAGATACAGTGAGGGGATATATCTCCTGATAGGGTAAATGGGGCCTTTCAGCCAAAAACCTTGCAGGCTCTAGTATAGGTGGCTAATAACCCTTTTTTACTAAAGGTAAAGCCAAAAATTAGGAAGCACATACAAGGCACAGGCTGCAAGTCCCATTTATTTGAATTCTGTGTCCCCTTATGTCTACTTAAACTTATGAAGAAAAAGGGGATTTGTGGAAAGAGGTGACAGTCCTTTGGAAAGCCATAAAAACTGTCTGTCACTGTAAGGGGTGACAACGTGGAACTTACAGGCACAGAGGGAACCATTTTCAAACCTGGTAAATTCAGTCATTCGCTCTCTTTCATCATATCCTTTCTTTTATCTTTTTTTCCCCTTTAACCTGTTTGCCTGCGTCCCTCATATTACTGACCTACACCACATCATGCTGTAATTTAAGTAGTACCACCTGCAAGGCATTCTGAGACTTTCTAGTTAAGTGTGAGCTGTAAGTGAAAACTTAAATTATGTTACATAAAGCAACTTGGCTTGAATTGAATGCCAGCATAAAATTATCTCCAAATTAATCCCAGCACTGGTTCGGTGGTAGGAAGGAATGCTAGACAGAGATTTTCACAAGTAGGTGTAATGGGCTAGAGCACATAGATCTTCTTGGTAGTCCCATTGGAAATCAGTGCTCTCCCTAGACCCTCAGTATCAACAACAAGGGTAAAAAAAGAGGGATCAGCAAAAACATTGGGTGTGTATTCCTCTGCTACCTGTTGGTCTGTCGCTGCCACGCAGCACTGAGGCTGCCTTTTGCTGTTGCTGTCCTACTCACACCCATCAGGGACACTGTGTGCGCAGCAAGTCACTTTGTTTCAGCCACTGACAGCCATAAGAAAAAACTCCACTGTAAAAGGAACTGGAAATGGGATCCCATCTCAATAATTGGATCTACATCTCAATTTACAGAGCTTCCTCGGTGGAAATTCCTATGGAAAGAATTTGGAACAGAGCATTAGGTCTGAATGTCTAAGAGATGCTGGAATTTTCATAAGGGTCCCGTCAGGACAGCAATGGTCTGTGACCCTCACAGTTACATCATAGATAAAACACATGATAATAAGTTCTAATTCCATTCTGTTGGGATGAGTTTGGAAACCATCTCAGTCAAGCACAGGGCTAAGACACCTGCAGCAGCGTACGTGTACCGCAGCGAGTCTGGCCGTCTGCTTTTGGACTGAAATCCCCAACTCTCACTGGTGGCCTTGCTAGCACCAGTCTCAGCTGTTAACAGGCTGCAGCGTCAGTGTCACGCGCGCTTTCAGGAGGACCCATTGGGATGGATGAAGCAGCTTGGATTCGGCTAGAACCAGATCGGAAGTTGCGGTCATTCATCCTGTGTGTTATTTCCAGGGGGCGGTACCATAAACGCGACCCTGTTCAGCCATGGCCGTTCTCTTAGCAGTAACTGGATATCCCGCGTGTTTCCTTTAACTGTCTCTCCCCCAAACGCCTTAGCGTCTCCCAGTGGACTGGTCCTTCCCGGCTGGGATGCTTGTTTAACCACGGAGACCATATAGTGGCTGTGAATGATCTGCAACCCCAGGACGTGGAGGAGGCTCGCTTCTTCATCAGCAGGTCCACAAGGAAGGAGGTGAGCTTGACTAACCTGAAGGTGCAGCCAAATGAATCAAGCCAAATGAGAAAGCAAGTTGCTTTTTGCATTTCAAGTGGCCTCATTCCAACCAGTTGGAGTTTGGCATGAATAACTTCAGTACCAAACAGCCCCTCAGCATCTTTCTGATATAGCCTCTCTTACTCCTGGGCTGTTTGGGGAATGCAGGATCAGCACTGCCATGTTTAAGGACTTGATCTCAAAGGGTCTGAGCAACCTCAAGAGATACTACCCAGCAACCATAAATGACAGTTAAATGGTACTTTTTGGCTAATTGTGAATTGCAGACTTTGGGAAATAAACAGTTGCCTCCAACAGATGTGGCATTGCTTATAGTGTTTTTTAGGTACTGAGGGCAGGGCCCTAGGTACCTGGCTCCTATTGGTTATCAAGCACTACACATCTCCTTGCATGATACCACCTTTTTTGAAGAACGCAGGGGATTTCTACGTAGTGCCTTAACAGCACTGTGATCCGCTCCACGCAGATACCTGTGTTTCTCTCAGATGGGCTCCTATTTCAGTATCCAGGTGCTCTGGCCTGTACCTGAACACATTCATATCTGAATTTGCTGAGAAAGTTGAGGTCATCAGATGCTGTTGCCATCTAAGGAAAAGAAAGCCAGTCTCAGCAAGAAAAATACACTCATCTCTCTTAGCAGGGTATTTTTATTTAGCCAGTTAAAACACAGGTCAAATAGTAGCACAAATGTTTATCAGATATAGCAAGGTATAAAGGTTTCTCTTTTTTTCTTTTTTAAGGTGAAACTTACTGTATGTAGGATTCCAGATTCAGACACCTTCCATGTTAAAGGCTGCTCGTGTTCCTGAAAAAAAGACCTCAACAGTGAAGTAAGTGCCAGAGTTCAGGGGGAAAATTCAGGGAGAAAAATGCAATATAGAGTGTATGGCAGTAATCTCCTAGAGTGGCCCGACATCTTTTGTTGCTGGAGTTCAAAGAATAGAGACATGGATTTCACTTTCATTTTATGTCCCAGTAACTTGGTTTGTTGACATGAATGTCACGTGTTTGGCTTGTATTTCATGTTGGCATGTATTTCACTTACATGAAAAAAAGTGAGGCTCAAGTAACTTGTGAATACTTTGTACTTCAGTAGAAAGTACTGGTTCACCCCTCTGCTCACCTCTTCACACTGGGTTACGTTGATTCCTACTGAACTCCTAATCAGGGAGGGGTGTGGAAACAACCTGCATTTGGAGAAAACCCATGTTTTCCCTTGTCTCCCCGAGAGCTGCAGTGTTGGAAGGAAGGCTGGAAAACAAAGCATTGGGTAGTGATTCAGTGGAGCCACCTCTTTGTTACAATCACAGAAATGCATTCAAGGAATGACAGGAAAAAGAGCTGGTTGGAGAAAAGGAATGTGTCTGGAGCACCTTTGGGTTCACTGGCAGCCAAAATCAGCCCTAAGTGGTGGATTTGGGAGAGAGGAGGGCTGGCTTGCTCTGAGAAAGCATTACTGGTGGAGACAGCTGGGAAAACCAGAGAGAAACGATGTACACAAAGGCACGTGCGCTCAGCCCAGTGCAAACCATTCGCTGAAGGAGTTTTGATGCTCCCAAGTACTACCATAGGGATGTCACTGGTACTGCAGCATTTCCAGAGCAAATGCTCATTTGCTGTCCAAGCAAGGACATTTCCTGTAAACATTTATTTGTGAGTATGTCCTGCTTCCCTTGCTGTCAGAGAAACGTAACTGATTTTCAGCTGGTATCACACCAAAAGGTGTTGGTGCTTGGGATGGAACTGCCTGCTGAGGTGTCTTTAGTGGATGCCAAAAGGGGGCTTTGTCCTGTACTACAGTGACCTCTGTAGCTGAACTACTGCGTTTAGCAGACATAGGATTACTGATATTAAGAGATTTATATAAGCTTTGATTAAGGTGGATTTGGCCCAAAGGAGCTATTTGTCCAGCTTCCAAGTGAATGAGGCCAAGTCAGCTACTACAGTAAGAAAGTACACTCACTGAAACCAGCACGGGTGCTACTTACTCCAGGTAGCAAACTTGAAACATACACTTCCTTTAAAATCCAGTCTGGATTTTTTATGAAACCGTTATAAAAACTTATTCAGTCAAAGATGAAAACAGCAATGGTAACTGAAGACAAACGCACACAAAGATTTATACAACCTATTCAGACTCAGCTCCTGTTCCAAATATTAACTTCCAGACTGAACGCAGCCTGTTTCTTCTGCTTTTGAGATAAGAGTGTTTGGGACATGCTTATTTCTCAAGGTGGGAAAGGATCACTTCTTGATATTTCTGTTTCAGTGGTGTTCAAAGACTTGATTGTGCTGAATTCTGCATAAAGACAGAGGGAAAACCCCAGTTCTGGAACTACAGAGGCTGAAAATGGAGGAAAAGACATTCCTTGGGAGCTCTTCTCCAAAGCTGCTATGGGTCCATTTGCTCGGCACTGCCCCTTTGAGTACAACAAATCCATTTCTGCTTAAGGAGCATGAGGGATGGGGTGGCCAGCCTCCACCATACAGGGCTTCTTCTAGCTCTGTAACGGTGTCAGCCTGCTAGGACACTCCTCCAGCCCTGATTCCTAGAATCCCACGTCATCTACTTCAGGAGTAGCCACTGATGATGTCACCCTCGGCCTTTCCTGCCCAAGCTTTGCCTAAGCTCTTCTTCTAAACTTTAGAAAAGGAAAGTGCAAACCTTCCTGTGTTGTTCCAAGACTCATCTTTCTTATAATTAGGATATTTTTTTCCAATATTTATCTTTGCAGAAAATGAAGTGATTTTTTTGGCCCTATTTCCAGTGGGCATGGGAAATGGTTCATTTCCAGTGTCTCCAGAGAAGTCTTCGTTATGGAAGGTGTTTTTTCTACCTCTTCTCCCCCTTCTTTTTTTAGACCAAACATCCTGCATTCCTTCAACATTTTGGCAAACATTTCCTGAAAGTGACCGTGTGGTACTGAACTGCGAGACAAACCCCTTCTCTTCCAGGTGTGGGTGAACGAAGAAGGTGTGACAGCTGTTGAGCAATTTCCTGGAACTTCATCCAGAAGCATTTCCCAGAAGAAGCGAACTAGCAGAAGAAGCTGTGAACGGGAAGAGAGCCGCCACTGTGGAACACCACGTGGCGCTGCCTCCGAAGCCGGCCGTGCGCAACGCGAGCTGCACCCCTCAGCCATGGGAGAATGTTACGTTGGGAGAAAAATAGGATGTGGGTAGATACAGCATGCATAGGATAATTCCAGAGTATTCCGGAAAACTGGGGGATGTGTTCTGTACGCCAGTAAACAGTTACTGACGCGCTGGCCCATAACTGACCATTACGTCAGTTTGCACAGTAACAGATGCAGATACTGTCACATATTGGCTGATTCCTGACAAAGGGACAGTAAATGCTCGTCGGGCACGTGAAGCTGTCTTCCCCAGATGATTAATAAACGTGTTAACGCTTTACAACACGTCGTATTCTTTGAGTACCTCACTTTTGCCTGACGCAGCCCCTCCTCCGCCTTCAAAGACTGCCTGCAACCCCCCCAGTAGCCTGCAGCTGAGTCACCAAACAGCCCTTTTAAAAAAGAGCTACCCTTAAAAAAGCAAGATCGACCTCATTCTCTAACATTTTTCCCCAATGTGAAAATTTTACCTTTCTTCAAATAAGTAAATTCCACTGAATCTCTGGGCTGCCCCCCAAAGCAACAGCCAAGGGAAACGCCTACATGCACGGTACCCCCCAGGGCGCCCTTTTAGCCCTGGAAGGATACACCTTTAAACCCGTGTCATCAGGGGGGCAAATAGTAATTTTTAGGTCACCTATAGGCATTTTAAGCATGTTGTGTAAGCTCACACGCTCAAGAAACAAGCGATACCTTAGGGTCTCGTGGCAGCGTGCTCTGTGGTGTCCGAATCTTTTCTTAGCCAGCCGGCAGGTACGCTGCGGGCTCTGTTCCCGACGCGGACGTTCAAACTGGCGTAAGCTGGAATTCGGTGAATCCACGCTCCAGCCTAACCGTGTAACAGACAGCTGGCAGAAGGCTGCAGATCCCAAAGCTTGCACTGCTGACCCCATGAAGCGACCTGCTTGGGCGCAGGGCCACCACAACACACAGCGCTTCGAATCGCGCAGCATCTGCAGACGGGGTGTGCGAGAGACAAAACCCAACTGCAACACAAATTGAGTAATTAGCTAACGATTAACACGCTCCTCACCAGCGATTTTATTTCCTGTCACTGACTACAGCCAGTGCCTGTAGGTTGTTTCCCTGGCTGTTAATTCACGGCACATTCCCATGCTGCACTCACTCATTAGTGGCTGCTAATTTTCCCCCTGAATTCCCAAATATGAATCAGGCTTTTTCTA